AGGGTCGGCGTGCATATGATGTACGACCTGTTGTTGGGCTTGCCTCTCTCTCTCTCTCTGTGCATATACATCTCCACCTCTCTCTCTCTCACTCTCACTGCCTCCGTATGCCTTTCTTTCTCTCGCCTTTCCTTACCTTTACTAGGCTATTTCTTCTTAGTCTTCGCCTTCTTCTTTGTTTAAGGCTTGTCATGCGTATGTTTATTATCTGCCTTCTGTGTAGTTATGTCTACATATTTTGGCGTATTATTTACGCCTATCTGGGTTGTGTCTAGGTGTGTAGAATAATATGTATGGTATATATTATGCATTAGTGTAATTTCCCTTGTTATATAGTCTACAAGCGAAAACCGACCGACAAATTGGCCGAAGAAGCAGCTGGTGAAGACAGGACTCCAAGGTGAACATAGACAAGACGGAGGTTATGAAAATAACCAACCAACAGCAGAAACATCCAGCGCTAACCACCATCATCGCGAGGGATTTGAAAGAGGTTACTTCATTCACTTATCTAGCTAGGGAGCATTGTCTCAACTACAGCCAGTCGGAACGGACGAGGATGTTAAATCGAGCGAGAATCGAGAGGGCGAGAAACACGTTGTTCATCAACCTGAAAACAATCTGGAAACCAATCTTCGTCACTCAGCCAGCATCAACAACAAAATCCGGTCTGATTTTCATTACCGACAACGTCAAGTCAGTCAGTTCTTCTATACGGATGAGAAACTTGGCGGGGGCGGGTCACAAACAATATTTCCAACAGCCAGTTGCAGACCTCTATCAACCAACAACTATCTTCGCTGGATCTATACTGAAGATCAGATCAGATGGCCGGGCCGGAAAGAATCATCAACAATAAACTATGGGAACAAACAAACAAAACAAGAACCAATCAATCGCCAACCAACAAATATGCAGGAGAAAGTGAAGAAACATGGATTGGACACTCGCTGAGGAGGCCACTGGGTAACATCGCGCGCGCGCGCGTCAGGTCATTGCTTGAGTGGAACCAGGCCGAAAGGGAAGCGGCAAGTGGGACGTCGGTGTAAGGCTGACATGGAGGAGATCGTGTGAAGAGGAGTTGAAACGATATGGACTGACATGGATGCAGGTGAAAAGTACAGCAGAAGGAAGACAGAAGTGGCAAGTGGAGACGTGCAGTTGAAGCCCTATGTTCCATTAGGAACCCAAGGGAACATTATTAATTATATAGTCTACAATCAGACTGTGCTTATGATACCTTCACTTCTGTATGTGCGGGTGCAGGTGCGTGTTAGTATTTATGTATAGACACTGGACTGACCGGCAGAAAGAAGACTTTAAAAGATCTGGATTTCCTAACTGAGGGATGATTTATGTCTAGTACCAAAGAAACTTGAAGACTTGCAGGCAAAAATCAGCAGAGTGGCAGAAGAGGCAGGCAGTGAAGGTAGGACTCCAGGCGGACATAGAGAAGGCAACATCAGCGACAACAACAACCAGCAGCAGTCACTATCAATGGGACAGAGATTCAACAGAGGTCACTTCCTTTACTTGTCTAGGAGTCACGGTTTCAGTCACAGGTAGGCGGAACGGATAAAGATCGGAAAGGCCAGACACGTCTTCATAAACCTGAAACTAATTTGGAAATTTTCTGCTTTACTCTATCAACATGAAGAACAAGATTCGGATTCTATTCAACACAAATTTGAAGTCAGTCAGTCAGTTGTTCTATGTGGGTCAGAAACTTGAACTGCACGCCTGTGACGAAACGGAATTCCAACTCTTTACTGAAGATAAAATAACCGGCCGACTAGCAGGCCCGAGAGAATTAGTAGCAAGAAACTCTGGCTGACAACAAACCAACAGGTGAGAGCCGATTGCTCAACACATGTGTAAGAGGAGATGGAGTTGGACAGAGGACACACGTTGAGGAGGCCATCGGTCCAGTGGAATCGTACCCAATGCAAGCGATGCGCCGCCGAGTGAAACCTAAATGGGAAGCGACGGTATCATGGAGGAGGATTGTGTAGCGACGCGGAGGAAGATAAGACGAGAGATTATTGGAAATCTTGGCGCTAGTCAGCTGAAGAGGACACAAGCAAGTAGAAGAACGTTGAGATGTGTTGTTGAAGGCCTGCTATGTTCCTCTCACAACTCAAGGAAACAATAACAATTATAACAATAATTGCAATAAAACGAGACTTTTAACCCAATTTCCTTTTTTTTTCCTTTGTTTTGATCATTTGATATAAGATTTAAGTGTTGGTTTGTAGGGATTTGGTTGGTTACAGGATTTCATCATGATGAGCTGATATTGGTTAGAGAACCATTGGAAAACCTGCCAGGGAGTACTGGACAGCTGTTCCGTCCTAGTTTGGGAGGTAGTTACCCCTGGGGTTATATTGAGAAGTCGTGACCAGTAGGGTGCAGCAGGTTGGGTGTGAGGAAAAATACTCGCCATGAAAGACATTGGCTAGGGGTCAAGCTATGTCATGAATTGGCAGAAGTTAGAATTCATGGTCATTGGATCAGGTCCCAGTGACTTAATGGTCTACGAGCTAGCTTGCCTTGTAACCAGAAGGTCCTGTGTTCGAACCCCCTGTGATGGGTGCTTACTGACGTAGAGTCCCAAACTAAGACGAAACAGCTGTCCTGTACTCCTTGCAGGTTTTCCGATGGTCCTCTAACTAATATCAGCTTACGCTGAAATCCTGATATAAGATTGTTTTGTTTATTTTTAATGTTCAAAAGTTGATTTCTGATGTGAATAATTTCATGTGTGCAGACAATTCCACTTAAGTACAATAATTCATACATGCCTTTTCTTGTGTAATTATACTCCGTGTTTTTTTATTTTTATTTATTTGCGTGGGGGGTAGGGTGGGTGGGAAAAGCGATAGTCTAATTTCTACCGCTTTTCATGTTGTAGTTGTTAGGCGGGTTGTAAACGTGATAAAGTTAAAGATACCGTGCATGAATTACCCTCGTTATTACTGTGATTATTATTATTATTATTATTATTATAATTACTTATCCACTGTCTTTATTACTTACAAGGAGTATTTTACAAACACCCGTCCATCCATACCTACACACACACACACACACACACCGTAATTATTGTCGCTATCTCGACACGTAAACAACATTTTGGAGAAAAGAAATGCGTAATCCCTTGAAAGAAATTTAATAGAGCGGTCATTTATAAACATGCATTAAATTTATCTCTAAGGGAAAATTTAGGGGAACAATTAATTTTTTGGAAAGTCCCTCGTGTAAACGGACTTATTGTTATATTGTATGTAATATGGATACTTGTTTGGATGTATCTTTGAAAGCATAACGTCTGGCATATGCATCTGTATTAGATGGTTGGAGGCAATCGCTAAGAGGAAGCCTCGCCTAGAGCTAGCTAGATTTCGTGCTAGTTGACACTCACCAATCAGTCAGTCAGTTAACAAGGTGTTTATCTACAACAGCCTTGAAGGAATACTCATGTCCCCTGTCTGAGATTCGAACTCGCGTCACCCAGTGAGTGTCGCAGTCAGTCAGTCAGTCAGAGACGTTAGCACTGAGCTATTCAGGCTCGTGACTGATCTCCTTCCTGTAGAACTGTACTGGATATTTTTGATTCGACACTAGTAACTAGTGTGATGTGTCTAATCCTTTCTTTGGTGACTCTGTTGACTTTATCCTTAACCCTTATTGATTATTTCTTCGTTGAATCTCTGATATGTATATATCCATATAATATGTGTGTTTGTTTGACAGTCTGTTCTTGGTGATATATATCCATATAATATGTGTGTTTGTTTGACAGTCGGTTATATTTTGCTATGTATACATGGATCGATATTCCATTATAATTAGCCAATCATGTTAAGACTGTCTATTGATTTGTTCATTTTGAATATTCGCTCACACACTTGTTCGGACATTGACTATTTTGCTCTCACACACTTGTGTGACAGATTGATTCTCCTTGTGTTTGGAAAATAGAAGTATCATCGCAAACCTAGTGGTCTTCTGATTTCCGTCTTTCTTGCGTCAAGACTATTAAATTCTCGACCAGTACATAACAATCTCTCATTTTAATCTCTAAGTCTTTGTAGTTGTGTAATGATGATTATGTTGATATTGTGTTGTTTTAAGACTGCAGTTTTGTTTGAGTCAGGATCATTCTGATTATGGATTGTTGAGTGTGTGTTTCCTGTGGACAAAATTTTTGATGTCAACTACTTGATGATAAGATTTCTCCAGTTTACTCAAAACATGCATGTATGCATAACCTTAGTGACTTGTATTTTATCCTAGTTTGGGAATCAACGGCAGTACGCACCCACGGGGAGTCGAACCCAGGACCATCTGGTTACAAGGCAAGCTCGTGTACCATTCAGTCACTGGGACCCGATTCAATGACTCATGAATTCTAACTTCTACCAATTCGTGATTTAGCGCGACCCCAACCATTGTCGTTGGTGGGACATCCATCCACACGCGCACGTGACATCTAATTGGATCTCACTGGTCACGACTTCTCACTAGAACTCAGGAAACTCCAACCTGTAGTAAGTCACTAGCGAGCATCAGATTAATTTTCTATAGTTTGGTTTGTAAGGGTATTTTATGTTTAAACATAACATGTAAAAACATAACAAACCCTTACAAACCAAACTATAAATATGTAGGAGAAAATAGAGATGGATCAGCCACGCTCTGAGGAGACCGTTATGTGACATTGTGCGCCCTAGGTTCTCGAAAGGCAAACAACGAATTGCACTTGGATCAGGCAGTGAAATGAAACAGATGACGCTTATGGGGAATTGTGGGATCAGCTGAAGGGGACTGTAGAGAAAAGCATGAAATGAAGACGTGCTATTGAACCCCAATGTTCCACTTGGAACTCAAAGAAACAACTCATCGTCCGATGTATTGAGTACAATTCATTCAGATGTTGAAATGATTGAATTCATACATATTTTATATGTTTATTCTTAATTTTTGTTTACATTCTATAGGGTGGTTATTTTCAAAATACACGATTTTGGCTTCCTACTCATAATGGACAGTATATACTACTGAAATTACAAAGATCTCGGTATGTACAACCTGTTTTTGTCGCTTTCATGTATGCATATACCTTTTGAAATATTGTTTATTTGATGACTTCCTGACTTGGGGATCAAGGATATACATTTTAATATGACATTTCTGATAGCAGGTATTCAGGATAAATAGATGTCCAGTTCAGGTTTTTAGTCAGAAACTGTCACTCATAAAGTGATTGGGGTGGAGTGACTTTTAACACTAGAGCAGTCTTTTGAGAAGTGGAACCGCCATTGTCAGTTTCTGAGTGTACACTTCTCTCTAGTTAGTTAGATTTCAATTACGTGGAAGGGGCTTCTCATTTCCCCGGTTGGAGTGGGACTCGAACTTATGACCCACTTTATTCAAGATCAAGAAGTTTTTTAGTCAGTGGAGGCATATCACTTCGTGATTTTCAATGATCTCAATGGGGAAAACTTTGAGTGCTAGTCACAGCATACAAGTTGATTTTTTCTTCGAGTACCTGAAATAAATAAGAGGCATTAGTGTTGTATGACTGCAGAGCCTAAAGGGACAATTGCTTGGGGTAGGTCACACGTTACTGATATGATGTGGTTATAAGAGCTACCTACATATTAAAGTCTTACCACCGACTATGCATCACTGGCAAGGTAAGTTGGGAGGTATACTTTTCAGGAGTCAGGCCTTTTCTAAACTTCCTCCATTGCTAATTGTCTCTGATCATTTTATCTTTGATATGGAACCAGCCTAGACAACTACTTACAAAAGTCTACAACCTGATTTTCGTGTCATGCACGCAAAGTCTCTGACCCCTAAATAAAAACTGACTAACTTAAAGTTGTACGTCGGTGGTATAGCGGTTAGGATGTTCGCCGACCATGCACATGGTCCGGGGGTCGATCCCCAGCCACCAGCGCACTGCTTTACCTCGCTAAGCCAGAAATAATGCTGGTAAAGAGGAAAGCTTGAGCATGAGACTAGCAACCCCATCCTGTAAAATAAACACCACTGCTACAGAAACTTCAAGCCACTAGCATGAAGCCCTATGTTCCACAGGGGAACGTGAAGGAAAAATTATTATTTATTATTTACTTAAAGTTGGTGTTGAAATTGTGATAAAGTTGTGCCATGCCTTTCTAATTCTGGTTACGACATCCTCATTCGTACAGAGTGCCTGCCTAGATAAGTGAAGGAAGTGACCTCTTTCAAATTTCTCCCCGTTGGTAGTGACTGGTGCTTGTCTTTGTTCTTGCTGATTGTTTATTTTCATCGCCTACGCCTTTTCTGTACTCACCTGAAGTCGTATCTTTGCTGTCTTCTTCTTCAGCTAGTTTGTTGGGTTTTCACCTGTAAGTAAGTCTTCGAATTTATATGACATTAGACATAAATCGTCCACCATGACGTCGAGATCTTCTAGAGTCTGTCTTTTCGTTTTCCATGCACTGTATACCGCATAATCCAGTTCACCATAATTAGGAATATCATCGTGGGTGATAGCAGACAGGCATGTTTTTCTTTCTCCTGTATTCACCTCAAATGCCTCACCGTGACATATAACCGGCTGTTGAATGAGATTGATAAAGAACTGGAGCACTGAATGTTATGCTGTTGAAGTAGTCTCGGAATTACCTCGATGAGATCGAGGTAGAGGAAGAGATATGACTGCCATGTGTATGCTTTGTTCCATGATGGTGATGTTTAGAGTTAAAATTTGATCAGTACCTGATTTGCCTTTTGCTGAATCCAACTTGTTCCCCAAGGGGTAGGGATGGAGGAGGTGAAGTTCTGCATCCAGTGTATCTTTTAACTTCTCCACGATGGCGTGGCTAAGTTCTCACTGACACTATTACGTGATATTTCATTCTCTCATATCTCATATTTTCATTATCAAAGTATAAAGGTGACCTGTATATATTACAAAGAAGTAAATTGGATTTTAGATTTTCCTGTCGATTTATTGGACTGAAGTGCTCAGTCTCCTCAGGTTGATATGTTGGCTTCTTGTAAAGACGCTTCGACGATGTCTGGGCATGTAATTAGAAGGTAATTGATGGCACAAGTGGTATAGTGGATAACGCTTTGGTGTTTGAAACTATGGTTAGTGAGTTGGAGTCTCGGTTGGAACACTATCACTGACTCATTGGGGAATGCAGGTGTACATCCAGCTGGTTGATGAGTCCCAAATAGGATGAAATGCGCACCCTGATGGATTCCACTGCTAGTCACCATCCACAAATTAGATTACAAAGAAGTAAGCATAAAAAAGCATCAACAGATCATAAGAGATAATTTAGGCATGAATAGCCTTCGACGAAGTGCTTCCACTTGTGTTGCATACATGCCTCATGTTCACAGACATACATTAATGCCATTGCATAATCTATAGAGTTGCCTTGAGCATTCTTTCAGCCTCATCATATAGCAGCATATATATATATATATATATATATATATATATATTATGAATGAAGTAAAAGAGCAACATTTTTGTTGTAAAAAATAACTGAATTCAATTTGTACCCTGCGCTACTGATATAATTTATCAGTAGTATATGCAAATAAACAGAGGTTCATCGGCGCAACAATGAATAGAAACGTTACTTTGCCATCGCCAATGGGAACGTTACCGTTGGACATGCATTCGACTTCTAACACATCGCCCTCTGCTCTCTGGACTGCCAATGAACACGATCTGAAATTCCGATCATAGATTTGCAGTTATATAAGTGAGACTTCCACCCATGTATCAATTAAACAACATACAATATCGTGATGATTCACTCGCAACCTGGAATACATTGCTCCCCCGTTGATCTCTCCTGTCACCTCTGGTCTTATCACAAAGAAAGAAGACACACACTATAGTGCTAAGGGTTTTTCATTTTTCGTTTCTCCAGTGTCTCGTTTTGCCACATTCAAAGTACCTGTCTCTTCTGACGCTCATTCTCAGCAATTTGTCTCTCGTTGTGGTTCTCATGCAGTGGCTACCGTTGTGATCAACACCTGTCTGGTAACCTTTGCTAGCTCACCATTTTTGTCCACGACTGGTTGTGTTTAGCTGAAAAATATGGTCTGGAAGATTCGATGAATCGACAAGTCAATAACTACTGCAACTCTTCATTCTTCATCCAGTGTTGGGAGAGCGCTAGACAAAGCGGATTCATTAGCTTCAGCTACAACACACTGACGCGTCTCTGAGGGTCAAATTATTTCCTATTCACTTGGTTATGACAGTTTAATAAACAAAATATACAGTGGGGATCAGTATATTTTTCTAAAGAATTCTAGAAGCGATTTTATACCACTAGTTTGCATTCTCTCCTGCGACCCCCCAGCAACCACCACTACCACAGAACGAAATGTTATCCTTTCATCTTTTTATATTGATTCTTGTCGGTTAATTTCTCTTGGGAATTTTTTATTTTTGCTTTATAGAGTTATATTCATTCCTATTCTTCAGTTTTTCGTACTCTCTACATTCTCTTTCATGCATTTATGTATCTTAAATGGTTTCAGTTATACTTTTCTGTCAGACAGTTAATGTGTTTGTTTGTTTGTGTGTGTGTGTGATTTGTTACTTTCCTCTGATTTTGTGTAATTGGCAGGAAATCTTGGAAAGTAGCTTATCCTAGGAAAAACTAGGTTTTTTTTATTACATATTAGATTTTGACATCGATGCTTTAAAGGTAGGATGCTGGCTGACTATGCCTTAAGTGATCCCGGTTCGATTGTCGGCCGACCTAACATACTCCTGAACCTCCCTCAACCCTGGCAGTAAGCCCCAAGGGTTAGCTACCCCACCTCGTTAGAATAAAACCATCAGAGTTACTGAAACTCCAAAGGTCAAGTTTGAAGCCCTATATTCCATTCGAGACGCTTAATACTATCTATCACACATAGAATCCTGGTCTTAGAGGGTGTGTTAATTGGTGGATGGTGAATAGCAGTGGAATCCATCAGGGTGCGCATTTCATCCTATTTGGGACTCATCCGCCAGCTGGATGTACACCTGTATTCCCCAATGAGTCAGTGATAGTGTTCCAACCGGGGCTCGAACCCAGTGCCCATAGTTTCAAGCGCCAAAGTGTTATACACTAAACCACTTAGGCCAAGAGAGCCATCACCTCTTGTACAACGGGTCTTATTAATTATTTAATTCAATTTTAGATTTTCGCGTCAATTGAGTGGACCGAAGTGCTCGGTCTCAGGTTGACATGTCGGCTATTTGTACAGATGATTCAACGATGTCTGAGCATATAATTAGAAGTTAATTGGTGGTACAAGTGGTCTAGTGGATAAGGCTTCGGTGTTTGAGACTATAGGCACTGAGTTGGAGCCTCGGTGGGAACACCATCGCTGACTCTTTGGGGAATGCAGGTGTACATCCAGCTGGCGGATGAGTCCCAGATAAGAGGAAATGCGCATCCTGGATTCCAATGCTATTGAAAGTGGAAGACATAAAAAGGGTGGTGGCTAGCTGTCTTTATTCATAAGAGTCTGCATTCTATCCCCCGTGTTAAGAGGTAGAATATGGTGAGCAGTGTTCAGGTTAGATTTTGGTTAAGTGCTAGATAGGTGTGTGTGTGTGTGGAGGGGGAGGCGAAATAAATCGATGAGGTTGTGAAGATACATCGACTGAGATTGTTAGGACATTTGGTACGCATCGCCCTCCTTGACGGACAACGTAAGCTGATGTAGGATGAGTCAGATTGGAAAAGAGCTAGTGATGATGCTGTTCAAACCGATGCATGACACTAGTCAATGAAATCCACAACAGTTAGTTTTGAACCAGCCGCCACGTAGAGAGGTGTAAACTTTCTGACTGGTTAGGGTCCTCGGGAAGATAAAGACCAATGAAGGCTGGAGACAATTGGTGTTGTTAGAGCTCAAAATCATTCTGAATGGCTTGTGCAGATGCATGCACTCTTTCTGGTTCGTTACATCCAATAAAACTCTATTGTTCTTCGATATTACTATTCTTTTTGCCTCATATTTCTATTTATTATCTCTTCTTTGAATCTGTCTTTACTATCTTCCCTCGCTTTGTGTGCTACACGGAGGGAGAGTGACAACTCGAAGTGCTGCACATCTGTGCAAAGTTTGACATTGTAACCAGTCAATCACTCAGTCAGAAGGTGAAATTAACTTTCTGACATTTAGAGGGACTTAACGTAAGACAGTTTATGTGAGACTACTGGTTTATTTCCGACAGAAAAGCTGTTCATTTCAGAACATTCAGATAGCGAAGTAACTAAATGCAGCGAAGCAGTCAGATCTCATCAGTTTATGCAATATACAACCGTGACCTTATCATGGATCTATTCTGATCTAAAAGTATTTCTTTACCACAAAATGTACTATTTATACTATAATCATTTGTTAATTGTTTTATGATCCGTGATCCATTTTATCCTTATTCTTTTTTTTATTTTTTTATTCAGAATATTTAGTCATCCCGGTAATTATTCCACTCTATATTATCAAAAGAAAAATGATGGACAAATGTATGAGTTCGAATCCGATGTAAGTTATTGTTGTTGCTACTGATGGCATTAGTGAATTATTATTATTATTGTTTCCTTGGGTTCCTTGTGGAACATAAGGCTTCAACTGCACGTCTCCACTTGCCACTTCTGTCTTCCTTCTGCTGTACTTTTCACCTGCATCCATGTCAGTCCATATCGTTTCAACTCCTCTTCACATGATCTCCTCCATGTCAACCTTACACCGACGTCCCACTCGCCGCTTCCCTTTCGGCCGGGTTCCACTTGAGCAATGGCCTGACGCGCGCGCGCGATGTTACCCAGTGGCCTCCTCAACGAGTGTCCAATCCATGTTTCTTCACTTTCTCCTGCATATTTGTTGGTTGGCGATTGATTGGTTCTTGTTTTGTTTGTTTGTTCCCATAGTTTATTGTTGATGATTCTTTATGGCCCGGCCATCTGATCTGATCTTCAGTATAGATCCAGCAAAGACAGTTGTTGGTTGATAGAGGTCTGCAACTGGCTGTTGGAAATATTGTTTGTGACCCACCTTCCGCCAAGTTTCTGATCCGAATAAAAGAAGAACTGACTGACTTGACGTTGTTTGTATTGAAAATCCGACCGAATTTTGTTGTTGATGTTGAGTGACGAAGATTTCCAGATCGGTTTCAGGTTGATGAATGTGTGTGTGTTATCGTCTTCCCGATTCTCGCTCGATTTGACATCCTCGTCCGTTCCGACATCCTATAGTTGATACAATGCTCCCTAGATAGGTGAGTGAATGAGGTAACATCTTTCAAATCCCTCCCGTTGATGGTGGTTGGCGCTGGATGTTGCTGCTGTTAGTTGGTTTTTTTCATAACCTCCGTCTTGTCTATGTTCACCGGAGTCCTATCCTCGCCGGCTGGTTCTTCGACCATTTTGTCGGTTTTCGCTTGTAAGTCTTCGATTTTGTGACAGTAGCATCAAGCATAAATCATCCACGCTCGAAATCCAGATCTTCTAGGTTCTTCACGTCGGTCCAGGATATCCCTGTCTTCTTGTTTCGCAGTCATTGTCTGATGCATAATCCAGTCATTCCACCACAATTAGGAATATCATAGGTGATAATAAGCACCCTTGTCGTTTGGTGAATTATACCATCTTATATATGCAGAGAAATATTTCCTACATTGGTGAACACGTACACATTCTTGTTATTCTCTTGTTTGTTCAGTACTTATCTAATCTGTATACCTCTGTGTGTGTGGAGATTTTTCTTGCTTTCCCGATCCTATCCTGAATGGCTCTGACACCCTTATTCGTTCCACCTACCTGTGGTTGAACCAATACTGCCTAGATAAGTGGAAGAGGTGACTCAGCTTAGATTTCTTCTAGTAATGTTGACTGGTGCTTGTTGATGTTGTTGTTGTTTGGAGAATTTCATCGTGAGCAGACGTCAGTTAGAGAACCACTGGAAAACCAGCCAGGGAGTACTGGACAGCTGTTTCCCCATCCTAATTTGAGACTCTTCATCAGTACGCACCCACCACTGGGGTTCGAACCCAGGACCTTCTGGTTAAATTGTAAGCTCATGATGGCTGAGTGGTCTACAAGCTCACCTTGTAACTAGAATGCCTTGGGTTCGAATCCCGGCGGGTGCGTACTGATGAAGAGTCCCGGACTAGAACGAAACAGCTGCAATCAAACAAAAATCCCTACAAAACCAATCATCCATACTTGAAGATTTTCTTGTTGTTGTTAGTTTATAATTATACCTGCCTTTCTGTTTCTATCTGTCTGTCTATATTTATTTATTTTTATTTGATCCTCTCTGTTTATTTATTTAGAAATTGAAGAATTGTTTTTATACTGGAACAGTCAATCAAACAGATGAGCGATTCATCTCAAATACTCCATCTTCAACAACATCATCATCGTCGTCATATGTTGCAGTAGATACATGCTTTGGTTTACAGTAAGTTTTGGCTTTTTTCTGTGTGTGTGTGTGTGTGTGATGCGTGTGTGTCTCTGCTTTCCTCCCCTGTTGACATTTCACTCTACGTTGTGAGTGTTTTAAATTTTACATTTTACAACCTCATTGTCTTTTTTCATGGAGAATTTCATCCTGAGCTGACATCAGTTAGAGGACCACTGGAAAACCAGCTGGGAGTACTGGACAGCTGTTTCATCCTGGTTTGGAACTCTTCATCAGTACGCAACCACCGGGGGTCGAACCCAGGACCTTCTGGTTACAAGGCGAGCTAGCTTGTAGACCATTAAGCCATTGGGACGCGATCCAACGGTCAGTCATCCCAAGAATTCTAACTTCTGCCTATTCATAGCGCGATGATTTCGCAATGTCTTCTTCGATGAGTTACTGCCTCATCTTCAACCTGCTGTATCCTACTGGTTCAGCTTCCCACTAGAACCCCAGGTTAACTGCCTGAATAAGGGCAGTCGCTAGTGTGCATTAGACCAATTTACAAGTATTGGTTTTGCAGGAATTTTGCTTGATTGGTTGGAGGATTTCATCATGAACTAATGCGAAGCCCTGACTAGAAGTTAGAATTCATGGGATGGCCATTGGATCGGGTCCCAGTGGCTGATGAGTGGTCTACGAGCTAACTCGCCTTGTAATCAGAGTGTCCTGGGTTCGAGCCCCGGTGGGTGCGTACTGATGAAGAGTTCTGAACTAAGACGGGAAACAGCTGTCCAGTACTCTCAGTTGCTTTTCCAGTGGTTCTCGATTTGCTACCAGCTCATGACGAAATGCTCCATGCAATCAAACAAAATCCCTATTCATTGTTTTTTTTGTTATTTTTCTTTACGTTCCCAGTAGAACACAGGCTTCAATCTAGAGCTTTGAAGTTTCGGTAGCAGTGGTATTTATTTTTATCGGATGGGGTTGCTAGCCTCATGACTAACCTTCACTCTTTACCAGGCTCATTACTGGCTTAGCGAGGTAAAGGAGTGCGTTGGCTGCTGGGGATCGAACCCCGAACCACATATGGCGTAGTTGGCGAGAATTCTACCGCTATGCCTTTGACGCACATTATCACATTGTATCGATAGTGAATTATTTTGTAACAAACTGCCGCCGATAGAAGTTAAGCAGCGCCGAATATCAGCTTTGCTTCTGTCCTCTGACACTTCATCAGTACACCCTAGGGAAAACTAACACTTAGTAATAATGTTTCTGTTCATCTGATGGCTACATCCTTCTCTCAGAGCTTTTACTACAGAATTTTCTGCTCTGTAGTAATCACCTGATAATTTCTCTCCTTCTTTCGCCTCTTTTTATTGTGATTACTATTCAATGACATATGAAACTGGACTACAGGTGTTTCTGATGAATAATTTTGTGCTTTGAATACGATGGTTGATTTCTGTGTACTGAAATTAAGACGACAGTGAAAACCCCTGCAGTGAAGATTATTACTGTTATGCTGTTATGTTTGACTTTCTTATACTACACTTCCATTATATAGATTGTTTAGTTTATTATCTCTCTTTACATATACTGTCATGGGTATATATGGATATATCTGTATTGATTATTGGTGAATGCAGCTTTGTATTGAAGGTTTTGTCGGACAGGAGACATTCGGGGACTCGAATTTATGACCCAAATGAACACGATGAATATAATACTGTTGACGAGGGAGATTGTGAATCATTTCACTTTGTTTCTCTATCTAAATGTCCAGATTGCAATATAGACCCAATTTAGATCGATAAGACCATATTAAAGACTTTTATCAACTGCCTCTCTAGCTGGCTCCATTCTGAAGATCAGATGGCCAGCTTGTCAGAAAGAAATAGACAGAAGAAACTCTGAAAACGAACTAATCGAGGTCCATCCATTCACAAATATATTGATAGAAATGGAAGTCAATGCGATACACAATCGGGTGATATTAAACACTAACCAGACCATTGCTTGAGTGGAATCTGAACCGGAGCGTTAGTCATCTACTCCGGTTAGTCGGACAAAAACTAAGAGGAGCACACTGAAGGAGTAGCTATCATGGCAACACCTTCATCACTCAGAAATCTGTTTGGAAATCTACTGTTGATGATGAACTCAGTGTGAACAACAAGATGACGACTTTCAATACAAATGTTGAGTCAGTCTGTTATTCTATATTTACCAGAAACTTGGCAAGTGTGTCACGGAAAGCATTTCTAACAAGTACATTCAGACTCTGATTAACGTCTCCGTTTGCTAGCTCAATGTTTAAGATCGAATGACCCTCAGAAAGAATTAGCTAGGAGAAATCATCGGAACAAACCAATCAACTACCAGTCGCTTAACAAATTTGTCGAACAAAATGTAAATGTATCGGACACACTGAGGAGGGCGTCGGGTGATATCTCGCACAAGAGAGCATTGCCCGAGTAGAACACGGATGGGAAACAATGACGTTTTGGGTGGGGGGTCCGAGGGTGGAGAAGATACTGTGAGGAGGAGGTAAGAGCCTTTGGACAATCGATGGACCATCTGAAATCGATTGCAGAATAGAGGACAGGACAAAATAGAGACGTTCTGGTGAAGGCGTATGTTCCACTTGGAACCAAAGGCAACAATCACAGTAGTAATATGTATCATTAGAGGCTGAGTTTTGTACCCCTGAAATCCTGTTGAATTTGATCGTTTTCAGGAAAAATTAAAGTCCTATTTTGGGAAAGAATTACCTCTTTTTTCCACACTCAGAAAGAAAGATGACACGTCATTCACCTTAGATGCATATATATCTATCCCTTTGTTAATCCATATGTTTTATTCTATGCTAATTAGTGAACCAATATTAATAATAGTAATAATAATAAAAGCTTTTGATGTCTATTGCTTTCATCATCGACGTTATTATCTGGTTGCATACATAATTAGTTAACGACGTATTTCTCCGCTCTCAAGTGATTACAGTCTCATTTTGAATGCATGGGAATGCAGTACTGTTGTGTGCTGTAATCAACTGTGAACATCGAAATTAACAATTTGCAATGTGCACAGTTTCAGCTGGTGAAATTTCCAACACATTTTCTTGTTGAAAGCAAATTTTGATCAGATCAGCAGACGGTGTGAGATCTGCTTGGTGTTGTCATGATTAGTAATCAAGATAGGAGATATATTTTTGTATGAAACTATATACTCCTCAATAATTAATTGATTGAGATGAGTAGTAGTTGTATACCGCCCGCATCGACCAGTAGTGCGTGCTACCCAGATTTTTTACACCGCTGTTGATGACCTCGGTCCGAAACTAGCGAAACATTCGTCCTGTCGTGTTTAGATCACCTCTATCTGTGTCTGGCTGGCAAGCAGAACTGGTTTGTGTGAGTGGTATGCACTTACTATTGATCTAAGTCAATCAGTAGTATATGGTTTCATGCAAATACTCTAAGTAGATACCAATGGGGTGATGTCGTCGAACGTCAAGCAGACTTTCAGGTTGTTCCACTTTGAATAACGACTGACAGCAGCTACCTTCACATGGTGGTCGAGCTTGCATATCGCATTGGCCAAACAAGATACCCTGAAACTGATGTTTATGCGGGTCCTACCGTGACAGGAATTTGATCAGGATAGCGATTAGACTAAAAGCAGTTACCGGCATAGTGTAAGATCTTTTTTTAACTATGCTGGGGGCAGTATCGTACTGCTGGGAAATAGTGATGTGACAGCGGGTAAGGTGTTTCTCTGAGATGACCGGCATGTCAGCTTTTCTGTCTCATCACTGTGGACAGTGGGGGTTAGAAAAGACCGATGCCGAAAATTGTACATCCCGACTTACCACCGACTATGGACTACCGAGGGATAAGTTATTAATGCAAGATCAAATCTTAAAGCTATTTCAAACAAACCGTTTGTGACCGGCTTCAAGCAGTTTTCTACTGGGTTCTGCGGTTATTATTATTATTATTTCCTTTAATTCCTAGAAGAACATATAGGGTTTCAGCCAAACGTCTCCATTGTGTTCGTTTCTCCGCCAACGTCTTCATCACCTGGCTCCACGTCTGGCCATTTGCTTTCATCTCCTCTTCACATAACAACCAACTGACTCGTCGCTTCCCATTCGGGTTCCACTCGATCGATGGCCTGACATGTGATGTCACTCACTTGATGGTTTGTTTTCTCAGTGTATGGCCAATCCGCCTACATTTCTTCCTGCATATTTGTTGCACAATTGGTTCCTGTAGGGTTGGTTTGTTCATTGCCAGAGATCCCTTTCTGTTGCTGATCTTCTCCGGCTGGCCATCCGATCTTGAGCGAAGAAATGAGCGAAGTTAGCTGTTGATTGATTAAAGTTTGTAGTTTGTTCGAAGTGACCTTCGTGAGGCCGCGTGGCGCCAAGTGTCTCTGATTCGTATAATGAGTAGCACTGACTTCACATTGAATTTGGAAATCCGCATCTTATTCTTCATGCTGAGTGCTGAGTGTTGATCTACACATAGACATGAGAGTAATGAAAACTTGCCTTGCCCTGCAGTCATGCAATACTAATTCTCTTTCTGTCGCAAGTACTTCAAGAAAAAAAAGTTAAATTCCACTCTGTTGACAATTGGAAAGGGACTACTGTCCATACACTTCCAAAAATGAACGAAGCCCTCCTGAATGAATGACACTAATACTAACATTCGAAGTACGATTAAAGCAAGACAAAACGTGGAATTCATTTTCCATAATTTACCTATTATTTATTATTTTCCTTATTCATTCTATTTTTGTTCTTAACTTTTAGTGGTATTATTCATTATTCGAATCAAACTTATGGTATACGACCATTACATTGTTCTCAGTGTGATCCTAGTACAATGCCTCATATACTTTTTCCACATCGATCAAGTTTAATTAACCGAGGTATGTCTAGTTGTTTTCTTATTTTTTTTTGGTGTTTTATGTTTATTTGCTTTCCTAAATATACTTCTGAATCACTATTTATACATACATGAGATGATGGTGACGATTATGGTGATTGCGTTGAGATCGATAATTTGGGCTATATCTAGGTTGAAGCTTATAAAATTACATCTATCCAGCCATATTATGTAATCACTTGAAACCATATTTCAATTAAATTATGCTACGGTTGACTGATCAACTTCTTTTCAGACCGAATTGTGGGAGTCACTTGCTCGTGTTTGTAGTCATTAAATATTGTGATAGTGTGTGTTAATGGGCACACACTGAGAAGAGGTGATTGAATGATATTGTGCCTTTGCCAGACTATTGCTAGAGTGGAACCCGAGCGCGGGAGTATCCGAGTGTGACATGGTGGAGAGGACATGTGAGGAAGAGATGAAAGTCTATGGGCGATCGTGGGACCAGTTGAAGAGAACCTCAGAAAATAGGAGGAAGTAGAGTAGTGCTGTTGAATCTGTATATATTCCACTTGGAACTCGAGGAAGTACAGTTATTTTGTCACCTACTGCCATGAAAACTGAGAGGAAATCCTTCAAGGGATTGAAGTAAAGCCGAGATGTGCTCTAATACTAAGTCTTGTGTTTAGTTACACCGGCTAAAGCTGCAGTCAAGGTAGTTTCAGGACTATTAGTTTAATCTTTGAGCTTTTGGTTTTCACTGTGATCGACCGAGCAATTGACTGATTTCAATGTAGAACTTTGCACAGATATGCAGCAGTTCCAGTTGCCACACTCCTTCCTTGTAGCACACAAAGCAAGGGGACAGTATAGACAAATTCAAAAGAGAGGGCGATAATAAACAAAAGCTTGAGTGAGGTCAAAAGAACAGTAATATGGGAGAACAATAGAGTTTCTTTGGATATTATAAATCACGAAGAGTGAGTGCATCTACGCCAGCTATTGAGGACAATTTTGAGCCAGATTATCACCAACAGTAGTAGGTCTCCAGTCATCACTGGTTCTTACCATCCAGAGGACCCAACTACACTGGGCGTCCACATCTCCCTATGTGGTGGCTGGCTTAAACTAACTGGTTGTGTATTTTATTGACTGATGCTGTGTTTTCGTTTGACCATTACTAGCCTCTTTTCCAATCTGATCCATCCGATGTCAGGTAACATTGCCCGTCATCGTGGAAGGCTATGGATCCCTATAAGCATACGTAACACATGTGTTAACCATCCCTTTATAGTTGATGTATCTTCACAACCTCATCGGTTGATTCCCCCCCCCCACACTTTCCTTACAGTCGACCAATGCCTAACCTCAATATTGTTCACTTTGTTATACCACTTAACACGGAAGATAGAATGCGGAAATCTCTGATCAGAGAACAACCAACCTTTTCTTATATATTCCAATTTTGATGATCATGTCCTACTCACAACCATAAAGAAGGACAAAGGGATCTGCTGTGTAGTACATACGGCCATTGACTCATAACCGAATATCATGTTTACGCTAGAAATGACGTAAATCGGCAAATGCTACACCAGCTTTCTTACCAAGAAAAATATATTTATACATATTTATATCTGTATGTATATATACACACTCGTCCCCCTGTCAAACAGTTTCAAGCGGAGCAATTCCGACCTTCTTAGTGCGCTATCTATTCTTGTTGAGTCTTATTATTGGTCTTCTTATTCCACTGTATTAATCTCTAGAGTTGGCTAGCGCTAACATGTATCTGTGTGCCTCCGTTTCTAATGGGTATACTCGAGATGAAGTCTGTTGCTGGTGACAGTGTTTGGTCTTACCCAATTGGGAAGGTGTTTCTGTGAACCTGATCCATACTCAACCGTGTGCTTTCTTCTTCTTCTACAATTTTACTTGATTTCTGACTTCAAACGTGATGCATTTCCTGTTATATCACTTTCTGTTCCGACTTCAGCGCCTCCATCTTCCCTTTATACTTTACAACATTACAGATACATTAATATGTTCAGAGACAGTTATCCTTCACAGTTGTAAAGAAGGATGGAGAGTACTGCTGTGGAGTACAGTATCCTCCTGTGATGGATAAGTGGATATAATATCTGATTTAATACAATTTGGCCTTTCTCGTTGATTGATTTTGAACTCAAATATTAGACCTCTGTTGATATATCGGCTCCGTGTGCGGATACTACAACGATTTCTGAGAATTTAACCTGAAATAATCCTGTGAATGGTGATTAGCAGAGGTAGAATCCATGAGGATTTACATTTCATCCTATTTAGGACCCATCTTAGCTGAATGTACGCACCACTACCCACATACCGAACACTTCAGTCCAATCAATCAGTTGAAAAGTTAAAATGGAATTAAATCATAACTGACAACACTTGTTGTACAAGAGGTGGTGGCTCTCGTGGCCCCACAATTGATATAATGAACAAATAAAGCTTTGGCGTTTGGTGAAACTATGAATGCATTGGCTTCCAGCGTCAGTAGTGCAGAGCGGGGAGAGGTGCGCAACTCAATCACCAACTTACTCACTCACTCACTGGGGAATTTGTGGGTACATCCTTTAGTTGATGATTCCCTCACATAGGACGAAATTCACATCCTCATGGATTCCAGTACAGTTGATCACCATCCAGAAAAATTACTTCAGGTTATTATATCTGTTTCAATGGTGAAGTAATCGGGCAACTGAAAAAATATGCCTGAAAGCTAATGACATTATTCAAAAACACTGCACATATCTACCTGGTTAATGGATTATTATTATTAGTTATTATTTCCTTTAATTCCTAGAGGAACATAGGGCTTCAGCCAAACGTCTCCATTGCGTTCGGTTCTCTGCTAGGGTTTTCACCTGGCTCTAGGTCCGCCCACATGCTTTTATCTCCTCTTCACATGATATCCTCCTCCATGTCACCCTTGCACTGACGACCAACTCGCCGCTTCCCTTTCGGGTTCCACTCGAGCGATGGCTTGTCTAGTGATGTCACTCCTTTGATGGTTTGTTTTCTCAGAGTATGGCCAATCCCCAACCATTTCTTCCTGCTTATTTGTTGCACAATGGGTTCCTGCTGGGTTGAGCTGCTCATTGCCAGGGATTCCTGTTGCTGATCTTCTCTGCCCGGCCATCTGATCTTGAGTGGTGTTGAGCGAAGACAACTGTTAATGAAGGTCTGTAGTTTGTTTGACGTGCTCTTTATGACACGCTGGCCAAGTCTCTGATCCGTATAACAAGTAGCGCTGACTTCACATTGTAGTTGAAAATCCGGATCTTACTTTTCATCCTGAGTAGTGCTGTTGACCTTCACACAGACTCGAGAGTAATGAAAGCTTGTCTTGCCTTCTCCATCCTTGCTTTGATATCCTCGTCAGTTATGCCTTAGTTGAAACGGTACTTCTCAGGTAGGTGAAGGAGGATGTTTTGTTTCAGGTTCTTCTTATTTATGCTGATTGTTGTCTGTTGTTGTTGTTGTTGCTGTTGGCGTTGTCCAGGAATCTTCATCACCTACCTCAGCTTTCTCTATGTTCACCTAAAGTGAAGTCCTGTCTTTGATGCTTCTTCTGCCAACTTGCTGCTTTTCACTTGGATATCTTCCAGTGTTTGTGGAAAATCAAATATATATCACATCGGCGAAGTCCAGATCCTCCAAGCTTTTTGTGTGTAAAATTATTATTATTATTATTATTGTTTTGTGCCTTACTAGTTAGTACTGCCACTGACTACTATCATTATATATTAGCAGCAGTGATATCAGTAGTATACTGAACACGTATAAAAGGGAGGGGGAGGGAATTTTGTCTACAATAATCCATACTTTATGCAATGTAACATACATACATACACACATAGACGCATGGAGGTAAACACCTCCTCACCCGGTGGAATCAACTACTCTCGGCTTTCCTCTTTTATCTTTTCTGCGCTTATCAAAAACAGATGGAGAGAGTGAGGGAGGGGGGTGTTCACCATTTTTTGCTTCCCAAAAGAAATAGTCAAAAATATTCATTAATCGTGCAGTTGCTCGCTTGTTTTAAATCTTTTGATACTGAAATATATTCAGTTTTAATAATAATAATAATAATGATACAATGTGAATGTCTGTAAAGTGGGGGAAAATCGTAAAGCATCGGACAACTGCTCCTCGTCCTCTTCGTCTCTCTCCCTCTTCCTTTTCTATCTCCTATTCACCTCTCTCTCTGAATTGTTAGACTTCTCTTTTTGGCATGGTTAATTTTAGACTAATACTAGTATATTAGATAAAACTTACTACTAATAATAATGATAGCGATTATAGTAGCGTTCAGAGATTATGTCACTGTCTACTATACTACTAGAAACTAGATAGTATATAAACACGACAGTTGGGATAGTTTAAAAGAGGGGGGGGACTTAAATTTAGCAGACGAAAGAAAGTTCGATCAAATTTTATTCCTATTCAATAAATTTCTTCTGACTAGACCTGTTTCGCATGATATTAGATCGTTGGATCTAATGTCCCTTTAGAGTTGCAGATACGTCTTGCTAAGAAGTGGCGAGTGAGTGAGTGCCAGCTAGCACGAAACCCCTAGGTCTAAGCAAGGCTTCCTTTGACTGATTGCCTTCAACCATCTAATATCATGAAATCAGAATTCAGTCTGCACTGAACAACCAAAGGACTAGACACATCGCATTAGTTACTAGTATCCAATCAAACACCTGTTTCTGTTGCACATACAGACCTCCGGTTGATCTAAGTGAATTGTAATGATCTCTTCTGTTAGGAGTGTTCGGTAATATAGAGTGGCCTTTGTTAGTTTGATACGATACGCGATAAATGATCGATAAAATCTCTTCAATGCTAACTAGCTTTGTGGCCTGTTTGAATGATATTATTATCATTTGAACAAAGCAAGAACAACAACAGTTTTTGCCGAATAAAGTGGTACCATCATCGGATATTTCGTTGCCTTCTCGTCAGCTGCTTACAGGCAAAAGACATTATTAAATATATCTACAGAAACAATTTTAACATACTTGCACAGAGTTCATTTTTAAACGAAATCTATCAATCAATCAATCGATATATGCACACTATAGTGTATAATAATAATAATAATAATAAACACATTATCCCAAACAATAATAATCATACACAGTGGAAACTTTCGGCGTTACTTAGTTAGATGAAAGAGATGATGGAAGTTTCCAGTTACTAGGGCATGGAAACACTGATAAGCGACTCTTTCTCAACGCATAAATCGGGTCTCAGGTGCTTGATATAGATCGCTTCGGCAAACTTGAATAGAATTGACCTGTTTTGCCTGCTGATAATTTAGAACGATCTTCAACGTCCACCTTATAACCCATGTCAAGGAGATACCTGGCGATGACACTGTTTAAAACATTTGTTCCTTCTAGAAATAGGCTTTTCGGTACATGTTCAGAAAAACGTAGATATCCCCTTCTTTCTGTCCTTCCAATTCAACTGCTCCCGCAAATACATGTAAGTTGGTATACACAATTAGAGTTATCATGAGAAGGATATCTATCGATTTTTGATTGCACCAAAGAGCAAGCTGTTCGGTAGACGGGGACAAGCTTAGCTGTAGGATAGGCTCTGGCTAGTGACGTACTCAGCCTTCTGTTGATCATTGCTGCATTGTATGATTGGCTTTTTATCCACTATGATTTGTTTTACATGTGAGACTTCTGTTCTTTCATACTTGTTAATGAACCTTTGAGGGTACCCATTGCTCTTCAACATCTTTTCGAGAAACATAAATTCTTCTTCTAATTTCTCTATAGAGCATATTCTCCTCGCTCTATAGTACAGAGTCTTGACTAGTCCGCTTCCGAGTATAATATAGGGCTTCAGTAGCACGTCTCCACTTTGTCCTGATGATTGCTGTCCTCTTTAGCTGCTGGCCCCACGATTCCCTATAGTCTGTCATATCGTCATCACACGACCTTCTGCGTATCACCCTCAGACTCACGCCCATTTCATCGTTTCCTACTCAGGTTCCACCAGAGTGATGGCCTGTCTCGTGATGTCATTCAACGGTCACCTTAGCGTGTATCCGATCCATCTCCATTTTATTCTCTACATATTCTCTTGTCAAGCAACAGGAGGTTCTTGGGTGGCTTTTTACCAGATTTTCTTGTGGTAATTCTTTCCGGCCAGATGTTTTATCTTCAATACATAGAGCGTAGGCAGCTGTTGATGAAAGCTTGCAGCAGCTTATTGAGAACGCTTTCCGTGACGCGTCCACCAAGTTTCTGACACTTCTAGAAGAAGCGGGTGACTTTATATTTGTATTCAAAATCCGAGTCGTGTTCTTTGCTTCGAGTTACGCCGATTTCCAAACTGATTTCAGTGTGTTGAAGGTGTAGCTTGCCTTCCGCCTTTGTGGTTTCCACATCCGTCTTTTCTGGCTGCTTCTTCATCCAGTTCGTTGTTTTTCACCTGTGAGTAAATCTTTGAGTTTATGTGACATTAGATATATAAGTCGTTCGCGACGAAGTCCAAATCTTCTATCTAGAGTCTACTTGTCAGTTAGTCCAATGCATTTCTGTCTTCTCACTTTCTCCACTAACAGTCTTCTTCATAATCAAGTCTACAATGAAACTTTACTTATTTCTTTGTCTATCTAATCTATTTTATTCAAGTATTGGTTTGTAGGGATTTGATTGATTGGTTACAGGATTTCATCATGAGCTGACACTGGTTAGGGAACCATTGGAAAACCAGCTGGGAGTCCTGGACAACTGTTCTATGGTATTCTTCATCATTACGCACCCAGCACAGAGGTTCGAAACCAGGACCTTCTGGTTACAAGGCGAGCTAGCTCGTAGACCATTCATCAACCACTGGGAGTCGATCCAATGGTCAGCCAGCCCATGAATTCTAACTTCTGCCAATTCACGACGTAGCGTGGCCTCTGGCCAATATCTTCCGTGGCGAGTATTTGTCCTTCTCCACCCTTCTAGTCACAAATTCCACTAGAATCTCAATTAAGTACCTACCTGAATAGGGCCAGTCACCAGTGAGCATCTCATCGATATTAATGTATTGGTTTGTTGTTGTAGTTCCTCTAAACAATGTCAACTCATGATGCATTCCTGTGAGAAATCTATTTTATGTATCATCATCAAATCGGTAGTTCGATGAAGAGAAGGAGGGAAGTGAGAAGGTATCAAACAATTGCTGATGAAACTTTCACCAACTAAGCTCTTTATTCCCCATCTTTTGTTTGTTAATGTTTGTTCATCTTATGAGGTTAGCTTAATGACTTGTTCGAATATACATAAAAATAGAGGAAAGATGTTTCCTTAACTCTGGTAACAAGAAATTTCATGTAGTCACTGTCTTGTTTATGCTTGCTTGTATATGTTTGTGTATGTGAGTGTGCGTGTGTGCGCGCGCGCGCCTTTGTCCAACATAATAATTCATTCCTGTTTGTTTTTGCTCTTGAAAACAGATTATTCTGTGAGTATCCTTTATTGTTCTGCCTTTTTCTCTTTTCTTCTATGTGTGCGTTAATTTATGTTAAAGAGGATTTCAGTTATTATTCTCTCATTGTTGTTTAATTATAATCGTCATTATTTATTGGATTTTAAATGAAATATTAAGTAATTATACGAATTACTTAGAAATCACTTCACTATCAGTAGTCATTCACAGAGGTCATAACTATCTATGCATCTATTTATCACTGAAAATACTCCAAGTTGTTGTGGGACTGGATTTTGCGGCACACACCGCATGTATAAGGAGCTGAAAAATGATAGGAATACATTGGAACGACTGATAAGATGCGTTATGTACTCGTCGAGTAGTTAGTTAATAGTCCTGACGCCGCGGAAAGAGGGAAATCAGAAGACCACCAGGGTTACTATGATACTTGTATTTTTCAGACAAGGAAAATAAATGTCACACAAGAGTGTGAGTGAAATGGTATATAGTGTACGAAACGTGGGAACAAGTATGAACGAGAATACAGTGCAAAAGTATATATGGAGATGAGTAATACACATGAATCAATAAATAGCCAGTCTCAACATGATTGGTTGTAATGTCATGTGATAATAATGTCATATATTGTTTATTAAGTTAGTGGACAGACAAAAGCATATTGTCAGTTATAATGAAGTATCGACCCATATACACATAGCAAAATATAATAGACTGCCAATAACAAGACACACACATCATGTGGATACATATCAGGATGATTCTAAAAGATCTGGACTTCGTGTCATCTTTTTTTTCATTCCTTTACCTTCCCAGTGTAACATAGGGCTTCAAGCTTGAGGCTTGAAATTTCTGTAGCAGTAGCGGTTCGTTTTTTTTCGGGATAGTGTTGCTAGCCAGCCTCATGCCCAACCTTCTGTCTTCACCAGCTTTATTACTAGCTTAATAAGATAAAGAGGTGCTTTGGCGACTGGGGATTGAACCTCGGACCATATATGGCGTGGTTGGTTAACATTTTACTGCTGTGCCCCACCGATGCACACTTATGTCATCTAGTATCATATAATTTCAAAGATCTACAAGTGAAAACCACGAGAAGCGGACAGGACACGACTTCAGTTGAACATAGAGATGATTGAAGTGATGAAGAGAAACAATCATTAACAACCACATAAATGACAGTGGAATAAACTTTAAAGACGCAGTCAACACCGATCAGGATGTTAAACCCAGAATTGGAAAGTCAAGGTAGTAGTCATTCATCACACTGGAATCAACTTAAAGAACATAATTCTGATCTTCAACATCGGTACAAAGTTATTCAGTCGTTCACTATTGGTCAGAAACTTAGTGTATTTGTTATGGAAGGTGTTTCTAATAGACTACTGCACAAATTTATCAACAACCGCCCTTCTCTCTCTCTCTCTGGCTGCATACTGGAAATCAGACGGCTGGCCAGAGAGAATCGGAAACAAAACAACTCTTGGAATGGATCAAGTAAGAACCTATCGCTTAACAAATATTAAGAAGAAAATGAGGATGGGTTGGACACACGCCAACGAAGAGACCATTGCTGACATTGCCTTGAATGGAATCTGAAATGGGAAACAACGAGTTCGGTTTCACTGTGAGGATGACATGGAGGGGATGGGCAGTTGTGGGGCTTACTTTGAAGAACAGAACCTTGGATGTATGTATGTATGGATTTTCACAGTATAATGCTGGTGAATTCAGTCCAGAAATTATCAAGGAAGAATTACAGTCTTAGGCAAACAGTTGCTAAGCTCTCTCCCTCTCTCTCCCCATATATATATATATATATATATATAACCATTTGCTCGGTGGCATAGCGGTTAGGACGCTCGCCGAGGTTCGATCCCCGGCCGACGCACTCCTTTACCTCGCTAAGCCAGAAATAATGCTGGTAAAGGGGAGGGAAGGTTGGGCATGGGGCTAGCAACCCTATCCTTTAAAAATTAAACACTGCTACAGAAACTTCAAGTCACTAGCTTGAAGGTGCTCTATGTTCCACTGGGGTACGTGAAGGAAAAAACCATATACTTCTGGTTTTTCAGTTCTACATCTCTATGTTACCTTGTGACCAATATTGTTATAATTTGTGTATTTTAGATGTTCAATTACCTGTGTTTTGGAGGCCTACGGATGTTTTCAGTATCATGAGTAGAAAACCTAAGTTGAAGGTAATCGGTGATGGTCCTCGAGTGTATACAATAAATCTGGCCTTAATTCTTGATCATCATTTGGTAAGTGTTCTTGCATACTTCACAGACAAATTCACTTTCTCTTATTTCCCTCATTTTAATATGCTCATTTTTTTCGATTTGGAACTTGTTTAAGCAGGATATTTACTTGCATTCCCCCAGTGAGTAATGGTGTTCCCCACCCACTTACCTCTAATAAGACTAGAACCTTGTACCTATCACTTTGAAACCGCAAATGTCTGTCCACTAAACCATCTGGGCCATGGGAGTCACTTCTTGTACAACAGATAGCAGTTAATAATGCAGATTCATTCAGATGACGAGTCCCAAATAGGACGAAATACGCATCCTGGATTCTGCTGCTAGTTGCCATCCACTAAAAAAATAGTTTTATGTTTATCCTCAGACATCGTTAAAGTGTGTGTACTAGCAGAACACTTGGCAACAAACACTGAACTTACTTTAATTGGGCACTCAGAAGGTATACGAGTTCCTTCAAGTTTGCAGATACGCGCCTCACTGACTGATGAGAGTGCCGACGAGAACGAAACCTAGATGGTCTAAGACTTCCTGTGGATAGCTTCCAACCATTTAATAACACCAGTTCGGAGTGTACCGTAATCGTAAGCCACCCAACATGTTGGTGGCCACATCTTAGGCTTGACTGATAGAATTCAGTCTGCGCCAAACAAACAAAGGACTTGATGCATGACACTAATTAGTATCCAGTCAAGAGTATGTAATACAGTGTTGTGTGAGGTCGATTATGAACCCAAATAGCTTAGTGATAACGTCTCTAACCGCAGGAAGCAATGGGTAACATGGGTTCGAATCTTAGACGGGGAACATGAGTTCCCTCAAGAAAGCACACAACAGACTTTGCTGACTGATGTGTGCCAACTAGCACATACGTGTTACCCAGTGTGTTCAAGAGTTAGTTTATAGTGGTTTTGATTTGTTTGAAGTTCGCCCATAGATTGATATCAGTTAGAGCAACACTGAAATCCATCAGGATGTACTGGACAGACGTGTCGTCCTAGTTTTAGGCTTATCCGAAATGCACACCTACCACAGGGGTTCGAACAGGAGACCTTTAAGTTATGAGGTAAGCTGTTAGACCATTTAACTAGTGTGTCCTGACTCAGTGGCCAGCCCATGGAACACTAACTTCCACCAGTTGGTGATTTTTGGCGTGACTGGCACCGTGGCGAATATTCGTCCTCGCTCCTCTAAGATATTCTTGCGACCCAAAGCGGTTTGCTTATAAATCCAACAGAAACACTCTAGATGCTACCGTTGTACTGTGATGAGAGCAGGTTGTAAGCTGAAAATTGTCGACAACAATTTACTTCAGTGTTGATTTCCCGAATCGGGGTCATGAGAAAAAAAAACAATGACGAAGCTTAACCTTGAGAAAATCACCAACCAGTCACAGTGGTCTTAACGTGTGGAAATATGATTCGCAGATATATGGCTTATTTTTCTGAGAAACGGCCACAAAGAGATAACGGAATAGCCTTCATTGACAAAACAACCAATCAGAAGAGGTTGCTTCTCCGTTAACAATAATGTACATAAAAATCTATAAATACCTTTTGATTTTCTGAATGAACAAGCTGTTGCCTGGTTCTTGTCTTCTTTCGTTACAGAATAGTAACAAAAGGCGAAACATAAAGATGTAAAGGGTCAGAGAAAATACAAAGACAACAACAACAATAACACCGCCGGCCCTCAAAGACAAAAGAAAAGACTGGACGACAATTAGAGAGCATTTTGCTGTCTGAAACAACAGTCAAAATGCTTGACAGAAACTCTGTGTATACATATACAGTTAAAATGACCACAGCATTCCAAACAGAAGGAAATTAAAAGGGTTTCACGCCAGTGCACGATAACTCCTTAAAAGGATCTCTTAGGTTTTAGTCTAAATTAGACAAAACTATATGTGTGTATATAATACAATGTTGTGATTTGTGCAGAGTAAAATGATACCATCACTTTATTTCTTTGGCTTTTCATCAGCTGTATACAACGTGCAAATGTTACATAATGCCAGACACAAAACTTAATAGACACTGCTCGTAAATGACACTTATATAGTTTATACCCAGAGAGTTTAAGTTGAAGCAAACATGAATGCCTGGATACAATCACAAAGCAGTTATATCATAAAGACATGAAGTGAATTTTGATGACGAGTAATTAATAAATTGAGTAACATTGTAGTGAGTATAGTTCAGATCATAGGCACAAAAGACAAGCAAATTTATTACTATATCAAAGGAGGGTGGAGAGATTAAAGTCAAAAAAGTGACAGTCAGTAAAGATATCCAATTACCAGAACCCAGAAAGTCCTGGGTTCAAATCCCTGTGGTGGATGCGTACTGCTGAAGAAACCCAAACTGGGCTGACGAAACAGCTGTCCAGTACTCTCTGGCAGGTTTTACAATAGTTCTCTAACTGATTTCACCTCATGATGAAAATCCTCCATGCTAATAAAGCAGACTAATAACTGCTTCTTTCTGAACACACACACACACACACACATACATAAATCGACATTTTCAAGTAATTTTCTATAGTTTGGTTTGTAAGGATTAGTTATGTTTTTGCGAGTTGATCACGGATTGATATCAGTTACAGAACCATTGGAAACCAGGGAGTACTGGACAGCTGCTGTTTCATCCTAGTTTGGGAATCATCGGCAGTACGCATCCACCTATCAGGGTTCGAACCCAGGACCTTGCGGTTACAAGGCAAGCTGGCTCGCATACCATTCAGTCACTGAGACCCGATTCGATGGCCAGTCCATGAATTCTAACTTCTACCAATTCGTGATTTAGCGCGACCCCAACCATTGTCATTGGTGGGACATCCATCCACACACGTGACATCTAATTGGACATCTAATTTCAAGTAATGTTTTCGATAGAGATTGCTTCGGCTTAAGGTAACTGGAGAAGAGATTTCGTGATATCCATCTCATAATCCGTATTTATGTGTGGTGCGCCTGACCGTATGCAGCTGATATGAGAAGCCAGCGAAATAAACAAACGATGACACCATCTGATTTCTGCGTAAACTATTCAAATCTTTAAAAAGGAGAATAACTGTATAAATTTTGAAGCATTTTCAAAAAAAATGGATACTGAACAAAGAGTATACTCTTTTCGATAACCCCTTAATCATCAGGCTCTACAGTTATATATTCATCCATTATAGTGAATGAATGAATGAATTAGTGTTATGAACACCATTAATGTTGCTGTTTAAATAACATTGAATCAATAATATTGATAGATTACAGCTCAATAGCATCAACATAAAATAATAAGTTGAATGTCAGACAGAAAAATTAGGAAAGATAAAATTACAAATTCATGAATTTATTGTCTCTACTGAAGGCTGGCCAGGGCAGTTAGTAGTGGGTGTCTGGACTTGCTTCTTTTGAACACAGAGTACTGGTTGTTTGAAGCGAATTGCAATAGCCTCTGCTTCGATGATTTTCGCAATTTTTAGGCACCCGGTAGATGATGATAGAGAAGGATTCTTCCACGCTGGCTGCCTTTGTGGCCGGCTGGTTTGCACCAGATAGTGACCAATATCGAACTGTTAATGACGCTTTTTACTACACCTTTTTACTTAGCCATGCTGGGAGATGTTCTCTAGCAAGCACGAAAAATCAAGTTCCTAGAGCAACGACCAATATAACACTATTTAATTAATTCGCCTTTTTTTTTAAATGTGAAGGAACTTTTTAATGAGTTTCCACCTCGAGATAAGTAATTTGAAACTAAAGAACCAGTTTGATTCTGGGGTATAATTAATTGGTTTAATTCAAATCTTTTATAAATGCTTTTACAGTTGGTAATAGTCATCTGTCGCCTCATCTCTTACTTCACTTTCCAGTTTTTCTGAGCAGAGCTTTATTTTTGAAAATCCCCCCTCCATCGACATAAAATTACTGACTGTAACTGAACATTTACTGAAAGATAATGACAATAATAATAATTATTTATTTACAGAGAAGCAAATCACTATTTTAACTCCATAATTAATGACATATTTAAATTGATAATGTTCTGCTTTGGGACGACGATAGGTGAAAAAAAAGAAATATGCCGAGTATTTAACACAACTAAAGACACCTTTTCAAGTGAAACGGACTGAAATACTTCATACAGATAAAGTATTCTTATTGCTCGACTGTCGAGCCAAGCAGACAAAGGTAGTGTACGTAGGAAAACCTTCACTCCAACTATGGGGGGGGGAGTGTCAACCTTTTACAAGCAATCCTCTACCCATGGTTCATTGAGGTGGCATAGTTGGTATGGTGGTGATCTATACGCCGTCTCTGAAAATAGACCAATCAGAATTTGGCCCAAGTCAAATGATCGATAGACAGTCTATGGAAATAAACCAATTAGAATTGCCTGACAGTAGAATAATGCCTACTGTTTTCATGATTCTGTTTGTATGGATTTGATTTGTTTCAAATTTTTATCACAGATTGAAAACTACCAGGGGTACTGGAAGGCTGTTTTGTCCTAGTTTCAGACTCATCGGAAGAGCTCCAGCCCAGGATCTCGTGGTTACACTATGAGCTTATTGACTATCCAGCCACTCGGACCCTACTTGATAGTCTTCATAGGAATGCTAACGTCTAACAATTGGTGATTTTAACGCATCTGTCATTAGTCAATGTAATCCGTGGTGGATATTTATCTTTCTTTCTCGACTTGGTGAACCTCACTTATTGGTCAAAACGTCTCAGTAGAACCCACTCCAGTCTAATTCGTCTTGCAGCTAGTTACTAGTGAGTACCAGATTAATTGTCAAGAGTTTGTTTGTAGGGATTTGATTTACCTGAAGTTTGCTGACAGATGGATTGATAACAGTTAGAGAACCTTTGTCGATGATTTTTCTGCAAGTTGTCTCAAGTACTTTCCTGTTACTTTTCGTAAGTGACCTTTCTTCATTTCAGCCTTTCAAAACTTAATTTCGTTGTTGCTTGCCTGTGAGTGACCACAGCACGAAGTGTCCTGCAAGTCTAGTGAGAAATTGTGTCCAGTGGGTTCCACAGGGTTGAGAGTTACGACAAATACTCATAGCATTGCCTTGTGCCTGTCGCTCTTAATTCACGACTTATTAGGAGTTGGAATTCACGGGTCAGCTATTGAGTTGAGTTCCAGTGCTTGAATGGACCACGGGTTTGTCTTGTTTTGGGTTCGAACCCTAGTGAGTGGGTGCATGTTTCTGATGAGTCTGAAACGAGGACGAAACAGATGTCGTATAATGTCGTTGTTGGTGTGTAGTCAAGTGATAATCATGATCATCACATCTATGCCAACTCAACTCCCCTAAATCAGTCTCAACTTATTGTGAAACGTAATACAAAACTAGCCAGCTGGCTAGTTGGACGTCAGAGGAGGATATGCAACTGCTGGTATAACCCCTTCCTTCCCCCACTCCTCAATTTGTCAATAGTAAGAGGAGTTTCTCTTTACGAACTATTCATATATTGTTATTTTTATCAGTGTTATTATTATTGATTGTGTTTGTTTTTTCTTTCCCTTCGGTGAACAACCATCTTATACAGTTTACAACATTTGGACATAATCTTGAACGTGGAATTCATTACTTGAGCAGTGTATTTAATCAAGTCACTAAGGTAAGTATTAAATCAATAAATTTTATTTTTATTATCTTAACAGATTGACGATGAGCAGGAAATGATGACAGCGTATCTTTCAATGTTCTATCCTAATACTCAATCAGTCATGATTTATGTTATCTTCGTTTGAATAGTTTGATGTGTAGCTTATAACAAAACCAGCGCTTGTTCATTCATGACGTCATCAATCACTCCCTACTGGACGATACTGATCTACTGTATATTATATTTTATTAAGACACTCTTAAAGTCATTTCTGAAGAATTTCTACCCCAGTATCACTTTCGAAATTTGAGAGTCAGCAGCATTAGACAGCAACCCTAACAATGTGGATGCCCCAGTCCAATTATTGCCGTTATTGTTAATATTGTTGTTCCTTTAGTTCCGAGTGGAATATAGGCCTTTAGCAGCTCATCTCCTTATTTGTTCTGTATTTTCTACAGTCTTTTTTAGTTGGCTAGCTCCACGATTGTTCATTGTCCCGGAATTCCTCGTACGATCTCGTCTATGTCACCCTCGAAGTGACTCCCAACTTGTCGTTCCCCAATCGTGTTCCACGTGAGCAATGACTTGACTGGCGTGCAATGTCAGTTAACGGTCTCCTCAGTGACATGTGCTCAATCAATTTCTATTTTCTTCTACATATATTGTCTTGTTGAGCAGTAGGAGGTTCTTGTTTGGTTTGTTCCTAGAATTGTTGCTAATTCCCTCTGACCAGTCGTCCATTTGATCTTCAGGGTGGAGCCTGTCGATGAAGTGGACGGAAACCTTCACTGGTGTGTTGAAAATGCTTTTGATGATTCACTGGCCAAGTTTCTGACCCATTTAGAACGATTGACTGACTTATCCCCGGTGTTAAAAACCCGAATTTTTTTACTTTATACTGAGGCAGAGTGCAGAAGATTTCCAGACTGAATGTATGTCTTCTGGAATTGATAGTGTTCTCTGAGCTCCTTGGTTTAATTGCGGAGCTTTCATCGTCTTTCTGGACGACATCTTCAGCGCAGTATTTAGGATAAAGTGAAATGATTTAAATTTCTTGCCGATGCTTCCTTCGACGTCATCATCTGTGCGACTTGTCGCTGAAACAATGCTTTCTGGATAGGCGAAGGAAGTGACCTCTTTCAAGTTTCTCTCGTTGACAGGGACTATCGTTGTTGTTGTTGTTGGTTGGTTGGTTATCTTCTCATCACCTTTGTCTTCTCTGTGTTCACTTGAAGTCCTGTCTTTGCTAGTTGCTTCTTCAGCCAGATTCTTGGTTTTCACCTGTGAAGGAGTCTTTGAGTGTCTGTGACATTAAATTGTTAACCATTTGTATTTGTTTTACTAAACCATACATAAGCTTGATAAATGATGGGCACTAAAAGATGCTTTTTACATGAAATCCCATCATTAACTGAATAAACTAACTGGAATACTCCTCGGATATAGTCATACTGAAACAGTTTGATAACCTCTGTGTCTAAGCCTTCTACTTAAAATCTTATCTATGAGCTACTTACTGAGTTCTCATGGCTACCAATGACGAAAATAGGTTCATACACTATTCAGTCTTTTTATATTCTGGTGTGTTCATTTTCATCGTTAGGTGTCCATTAACCAGTGCGGTTGTTAACGCTAGACGTTGACTTTTCGCCCTTGTACTCTTATGTGAAGAATATCCTCACCGCCTGCCTCATGAAGGTTAGTAAATAGGGTTTACCAGGCTATGAACGCGATTGGCTACACGATGAGATCATTTCTAGAGGAGAACTAAAGTCTACTCACCCTCCTCAGCTGTACCAGATCGTTGACCAAAAGACGTATGAATACTGCTCAGCAGCAGTTCTCTCTGTTCTCCTATATGACTGTAAAACATGGCCATTGAAAGTGTTTTTTTTTCTATTCCTTTACATTCTCTGTGGAACATAGGGCTTCAAGCTGGAGACTTGAAGTTTCGGCAGCAGTAGCGTTTCGTTTTACGGGGTGGGGTTGCTAGTCTCAAGTCCAACCTTCCCCTTTTTACCAGTCTTATTACTGGCTTAGTGAGTGAGGTAAAGGAGTGCGTTGGCTGCCGGGGATCGATCGCCGGACCACGTGAGGCGTGGTTGACGAGCATTCTATCGCTGTGCTACCGACGCACCGTTGATAGTGTAGATGACCTGAAAAGGCTAGTTGTCTTTGATCATAAGTGTCTGCGTTTTATCTCCCATGCGTTTTAGGTGACACAATAGGGTGAGCAATATTGAGGTTAGTAATCGGTTACAAAGACTGAGAGAGATGGTTAGGATATGTGTTAAGCATGTCTAGCCAACCATCGCCTTCCTCGATGACAGACAATATTAGCTGACATAGGATGGTTCAGGCTGGAATAGAGCCAGTGGTGGTCAAACCAAAACATGGCTTCATCAATCAATGAAGTCCTCAACAGTTAATTGAAGCCATCCAGCCAGGTTTTGTGGTGTAGACTCCCTGACTGGTTGAGGTCTTCCGCATAGTAAAATCCAGTGAGAACCGGAGACAATTGGTGATATGTCTCCCTCTTTGGCATCTCTCTATGCTGTCTTCTCTTGCGTTGTATGATACAAAGAGGGAGAATGACACCTGGAACTGTTGTATATCTGTGCAAAGTTCTGTGCTGAAACCAGTCAGTTAGTCAGATCATTTCTCTGAAGGAAGTGGGGAGGGGGGAATAAACATGAAAATATCTTTAATGTTTATATTTACCTTTACTGAAATTACCCTTTTTGAAGTGAATGATTGTCAGCAAACTGTTTGTTTTTCTCTTTTTATTATTTTTGATCTGTAGGCTATTCAGCTTTAATTTTTTGTTTATATTACTAAACGTATACATTAGTGTATGTATACAAGTTCGTCGATATGTTATTGTGAATGTTGGTAATGAGGAATACAGAAAATCTCATTAACCACTAATTTATTCCCCATTTTATTCTACCTAATTTTTCCCCCCCCCCTACTAAACTGTTTTCATCGCTTTACGTCCCAAGTGTTGAACACCCACAGAGAGGGGAGGTGGGGGACTTCAAGTCTCTTCAGCTTTGAAATTTCGCGGTAGCAGTGGGTTTTTTTTTATTGTTACAGGATAGGAATAGTGTTGTTAGCCTCACACACCATCCAACCTTCCCTCTTTACTCACTACTATGGAGCTTCCTACCGACTTATTGAGGTTTAGAAGTGTGTTTGTCAGCAGACTGTGAATCATCTGATTTCTGGTATGACCACAGTTCGACCAAGTAACTAACTAGCTAGCCAGAAATCGGGTGTGGTTTGAAATGATTCGACTCTCTGAGCTGAGTCAGTGAAATTGGCTAGATACACCGCTGACGAGGAGCTCGACTCCAAATGAGTGAAATGGCCACCTCTTGTGGTGTCTGGATCACCTTGGTCTGTCTGTCTGGCTGGCTGACAGGCAAGCACTACTGGTTGATATGAGTGTTATAGTATAAAACTACTACTTATTTCAACCAATCAATCAGTAGTATATAGCTTTATATAAGTTAGATGTAATGTTTTATTGATTGTTGAGAAGTTTTTTATTTTTATCATAAATACTAATTTGGAACAAAGCAAATTATTATTATTATTCAAGCGTTGGTTTGCAGGGATTTGATTGGTTACGGGATTTCATCCATGAGCTGACATTGTTTAGGGAACTATGCACCATTAGATCGGGTCCCAGTGGATAAATGAATGGTCTACAAGCTCGCCCATTATAGTTAGTGGTAGGTCCTGGGTTCGAACGCCTGTAGACGGTCCCATAGAACTAGGACGAAACAGCTGTCCAGTAGTCGTTGGTAGGTTTCCAGTGGTTCTCTAACCGATATCAGCTCATAATGAAAGTGTTACTATTGTTATTATTACTATTATTAAAAGATTAGTAGAAAGTTCAAAATCCAAGTCAATAAACAATCATCAATACAGATGTAAATCGACTATCAGTCAAGAAGGTGGTTACCAGGAGACACAATTCTATCATCATTCATGGGAAATTTAAATCAGTTTATTTTATGCTAAAACTTGCTCTTTTGTCCAGAAGGACGACGAAAGCTTCACCGGCTTGGCGAACACAACTAATTGCGTCGGTGGTGCAGTGGTTAGGACTCTCACTGACCATGAACATGACCCGATGTTCGATCCCCCTGGCCGACGCACACCTGATATCAATGGTCGGCCTGCAAAATTGGGCTACTGATATCACATGCTGAATATTCCGTACTTGTACCAAAAATACAATGTGGAATCAAGCTGTAATCAAAAAAATAAATAAATAAGAAAAATAAATAAATGCAAATAGTATTATTACTATTATTCTCTTAGGTTCCGAGTGGAACATAGGTGGGCTTCAACAACACATTTCCACTTTCTTCTATTTTCTGTCGTCCTCTTCAGTTGGGTCCACGATTGCCTATAATCATCATCTCCCATCTGTTTCTGACAGGATCTCTTCCGTATAACCCCTTGGATGACCCACTCGTTGCTTCCCATTGAGATTCCACTCAAGCAATGGCCTGCATTGAGCGCGATGTCATTCGACTGTTTCTTCAATGTATACCCACTCAATCCGTCTCCATTTTCTCTCACAACATATTTGTTTAGCGATCGGCACTTAGTTAGTAAGCTTTTCACCTCCTAGAGTTTCTTGTTATTAATTCTTTCTGGTCGGTTGGTCATTAGATCTTCACTATGTGGAGGCAGCCAGTGAAGTGGGCGGCAGCTGTTTATGAAAGTCTGAAACAGGCTGTTGAAAATTCTTTTCGTGACACATATGAAGGGCAAGTTTTGTGATCCGTATATAAGGACCTTTTTGACATTTGTATTGAATAGAATTGGAACCTTGTTCCTTATGCTGAGGCTGAGTGGTGGTTGCAGAAGATTTCTAAACTTGTGTCAGACTGATGAAGGCGTATCTTGCTTTCCCGATCCTTTCTGGCTGGGTTTTGACATCTTTATCCGTGCTGTCCACCTGTAGTTGAAACAATGCTGCTGACTGCCTAGATAATTGAAGGAAGTAACCTCTATTAAATCCCTCTCTCTCTCTCGTTGATGGTGATTAGTGCTGGTTATTGTTGTTGTTGTTGTTATTGCGGATAAGTAGATATCCCTGATTTTCCTGACTACAGTAGATTGGATAATGCGACAGACAGACAGACAGTGGGCAACGAAAAGCAGGCATAAAATGGAACCACACAAAAAAAACTTGGAGGATCTGGACTTCGCCGATGTGATATATATGTCTGATCTCCCACAAACGCTGGAAGATATGCAAGCGAAAAGTAACAAGTTGGCAGAAAAAGTGGGCATCACAGATGGGACTTCAGGTGAACATATAGTAAAGAGAGTTAGGTGATGAAAATTCCTGGCCAACAACAACAGACAACAATCAGCATAAATGGGAGGAATCTGAAAGAAATAACCTCCTTTACCTACCTGGGAATCATCGTTTCAACTACAGACGGACGGAACTTATATCAAAGCAAGGATCGGAAAAGCAAGGAAAGCTTTCATTACTCTCAAGTCTGTTTAGGTCGACACTCTGTATTCAGCATGAAAAATAAGATCCGGATTTTAAAATCCAATGTGAAGTCAGTGCTATTTGCTATACACATCACAGACTTGGCGCGTCACGAAAGCCACTTCGAACCAACTGCAGACCTTCATTAACAGCTGTCTTCGCTCAATACTGCCGAAGATCAAATGGCCAGAAAAGATTAGCGAGCCAACTTGGAACCGATTGTGCAACAAATAGGCAGGAAAAAATTGAGGTGGATTGGCCATACTCTGAGGAAACCATCAAGTGACATCACTAGACAAGCCATTGCTCGAGTGGAACCCGACAGAATGGGAAGCGGAGAGTCAGTTGGTCGTCAGTGTGAGGGTGACTTGGAGGAGTTGAAACGTGCGGCTGAAGCCCTATGTTCCTCTAGGAATTAAAGGAAATAATAATAATAAATATTCCTAAGTGCCTATCTATCTATCTGTGCATCTATCTATCCAATTACCGTTTAATCAGCCTTTATATGAACTCTGACGCTTATGTTTCATAACCCTAGGGTATATGTTTTTTTTATACATACAGGTGTTGTTTCACCTTTTACTACCTTCACATATGATGAATAACGAAAAGGATGAATAGATTAATGAATCATCTTCATCGCGAGTTGGTTAGTTAGTTAGACAGTTAGTTAGATAGGCAGTTAGTTAGTTAAGCAGTTAACTTGTTTACAATTTCACTTGTAAACACATCTGGTTTTGTGTTGATGTCAATGTGTATAGAGAAATAAATAATTAAATGCATAGCATATTTATGCATTTTCATTTCTTCTCTTTTTTTAATGTATTACGATATGGTTTTCTTATCTATTTATTTGTCTACGATTCATCACACTCTTTCACCGATCCAAGCACACACGCATTGTAAATAAATAAATAAATTTGATTTATGTTGATTGTCTTCATTTGGGCACACACTCAGCACACGCACCCGCACACACATACACACACACGCTTACGTAGCCGGTGTATTACGTTTGATTTAACCCCCAAGATTTGGGGGTGGGATGGAGTGATGTGGTGTGGTGTGGTGTGTGGAAGTCATGTTTTCTATTTTCCTTTCTTCTGTTTAACTTTTTCCACTATCCATCCCATTGAACGTCTTCTTTCATTCTCTGTGTTTCTCTCTGTGTGGGGGTGTGTTAATACTGTTAGTAGTATTGGTAATTATTATTAGTAGTACTAATATTACTATTATTATTATTAGTAATAGCATTAGCCTCGTCTTACAATGTTCTCTCTTTAATTCCTCTACTCTACCTGTTCATGTGTTAATATAGGTTATATATGTGATGATGATTCATCGACATGCTGTTTTGATGTAAAAAAAATACCCAAAAAATATTAATAATAGTAATAAGATGTGATTAAGTTTCAGGGCGGTGTGTGTAATGTGATGAAAAGAAGAAAGAAGAAGCTTGGAAAACGAAAACACGTCTTATCTGTCTGTCTGTCTGTCTATCTGCCTATCCGTCTATCTATCCAAATGGTATCTAAAGTTCTAGGCTGAATAATCATGCGTAGATTAAGATGAGAGAACCAGGAAGGCTTTAGAGCGGGAAGAGGGTGTATTGATCATACATTCACCCTTCGACACCACCGGAGTCCAATATAATCGTCATATTTCTTGATGTGAAACTGGTATTCGATTCCATCGATCCAGAGGTACTACAGCGATGTTTGGCTGTGAAGGGAATGGAGAGAAAAAATGCATTACACTGATCAAAGACAGTTGTCATTTGAAGTGATGACAACTAGTGGTGTCCATCAGGGATGCCTACTGTTCCCATTTCTATTCATTTTTATCATAGATGTACTAATGAACTTAACCTTAACCGGCTTGAGTGGCTCAGAGACTGACTTGTTACCAGGATAGAATCTCGTTGACTTAGAATATACACATGATATAGTCCTCCTTCCTAGGTGAAGACGCCGACAAAATGCAGAGTCTTTTAAACAGCCTGAGCTTTAGTAGCAATCTTCGAATGCCTGGAGTGTGATTCGTTCTCGTCAGATGTAAGATGATGCTACACGACTGTACTACACTGACTCCTAGCTTAGAGATATGGAGGGAGTGAAGTGATGGAGCGTGTTGGTCACTTCACTAATTTGGGGAGTTGCATCAGCCAACGTCAAAGGGGTTGATCGCTGATAAAATCTCAACACGGATATAGAAGGCTTGTTTGGCATTTACCAAATTACACCATCTATAGCCTGGTAGACGTGATATCCGACTGGCTATCGATCAAAGGATATGTGTGTGTATTGCTCAGCAGTAGGCTGCTCTGTCCTCCTTTTACGGCTGTGGGTGAGACATGGCCACTGGGAATGGAAGATACGAAAAGGTTAGCTGTTTTTGACCATAGGTTTCTGCGTTCTATATCCCGTGTTAAGTGATATAATAAGGTGACCAATATTAAGGTTAGGCTTCGGTTGAGTGGTAGGGGAAATGAATCGACGAGGCTGTGAAGTTGCATCGACTGAGGTTGGCTAGGACATGTTTTACGTATGCCTGGCCATTTATTGCCTTCCTCGACGGAGAATGTTAGCTGACATAAGATCGACAGGTTGTTGGAAATGAGCTAAAATGATGGAGTTTCTTGCCGGTCTACAGGTGTCATCCTCTATTGATTTATTACCAACCAGTGACAATATCGGAATTTCTTTATGACCCAGATTTAAGCAGTACATTGAGTACTCGGTTTCTCATATACAAAGATCTATTTAGGGTAGATTCTGTTAGCCAAGACGATGCTTGGAAAGTTAAACTCTTACGCTATAGGAGTTAGGTGCAACTGAGTTGGATAAATACTACAACCTGATTCTCTTTCAAAAGCCCAGTGACAGAATGTTCGACTCAACCGCTTATCTGCGCCAACAACGGCTAACTCACCTCTCAGCCACCACTAATTAAGCTAAAACACACCAAAAACTGAACGAAAAGTAACCGTATATTCTGCATCAAGGTAGGTTATATCAACTCAATATATCAATAATTTATAATCAATAAAGTAGTGGGCGTTATTTTATGTAGGCCAATTCTGATTGGTCAATTTCCAGACTGGATATCGATCGTCTTATCTTCTATGTCAAGCGAAGCAAATGCTTATCGAATGCCATATCACAAATTGACAGAAGTTATAATTTATTGAATTTCTTTCCCAGTTGCCCGATTGGTCAACGAGCTTTGCCTCATAGCCCTGATGGAGTTGTAGGCGTATATCACTAAAGAGGCATGAATTAGGACGAAAAACCGCTCCAGTCAGTACATCGTAATTTTCTGTTGACGTTGGTTTGAAATTAATCTGAATACCTACAAAATTCCGTAATATAAATTATTATTATTTATTATTGTCCTTATCTCTTGCTTACCTCTAGTCATTTCAAAGTGTTCCAATCGAATTGAATTTAATTCAATCAGAGATATGGTCAATAAAAGATTTAATTCCTATGGATCAGAGTATTAAAACTGTATTGAATAATTTCGCCCAATTAATATATCATCGGAGAAAACAAGCGAATTCTTCAGTGAATGTAAAACATCCATTTAAACCTCTACTGTCTACATCAACGCGGAATAATACATTCGGGGTAAGTTGTATATATTTTGTTGTGTTTTGCTTGATATGGTTTTTTCTCTGTTGCATGTGTATTTTCAAATTCCCATTTACGCATTTAGGAAAAAAAACAACGACAACAGATTGAGCGAAGAAATGTGGATTCCTTTTCAATTAGTTCTTCATCATCGATAATATTCGTGATCTATTACGTCGAAACGGATAACCAACTAAATTCATGAACAAATACACTAGAACTCAGAAAGTAAAAAAGCCGAAAGTGCTGACTGTTTCTAAACAAATCAGTCTTCTTAAGATTAAAATTCAATGGTGATGTCAATAGTGAGATCTTATCACAACGTCTAAGAAGGGCTTTCGAACAGGACTTTCAATGCAGCTAGCCGACCAATACTTAGTTCAAGAAATAAAGGCAGATTGCCCTGTTTCACCACTGTCATGTGTATTTACCAGTTTAACTGTCCGTGCGGAGCTAGTTACATAGGCTGTAAGATTAGGCAACTTCATCGTCAAATTTTTGAACACCACTCCGCATCTTGGTTTGGCAAAGGTTCGAATAAAGCTGTTATACGCAGCTCAATACCAGCGTTCATCTCGTCGATACTGGACATCAAATCGACTCTAACAAAGCTTTTAAAATTGTTTATCATGTACCACCCAACTTCTATCCTCTTGGTTTACGAGTACCACTTGTACATGCATACAGCAGAGACAATCGGAATTCATATGAACAAGCCAAATCTGTGCGTGTTCAAAAGAAATTTGTACAGCCCCTTTCTTTGCTATGGTCAACTACATCTGTCTGTCTGTCTGTTTTCGAAATAGAACTTTGCACCGATGTGCGCCAGTTCAACTCACCACACTCCCTCCTTGTAGCACACAAAGCAACAGATGAAAGTAGAACAAATGCATAATAGAGACAGTAAACAGAGGTGTGAGATAAGAAATAGTAATAACGAAGATCTAAACAATTTCATTGGAAATCATAAGTCACAAGGAGCGGATGCATGTGCGCCATTGAGAACAATTTAGAGCCATATCACCCATTGTTTCCAGCCTTCATTGGTTTTTACCGTCATCCTGAGGACCCCAACCAAACTGGAAGTCTACACCTCCATAAGTGGCTGACTTGAACTGACTGTAGTGGATTTCATTGACTGGTACCATGATTTGGTTTGACCGCCGCCAACTCTTTTCCAGCCTGAACCTATGTCAGCTAACATTGCCTGTCGGTCGAGGAAGGCGATGACTAGACATACGTAACACATGTCCTAACCATCTCTCTCTGTCGATGGAATTTCACAGCCTCGTCGATTGATTTCCCCTCCTGCTTACCTAGCACTCGACCTAAGCCCAACCTCAATATTTCTCACCTTATTATACCACTTCACATGGGAGATAGAACGCAGGCACCTATGATCAAAGACAACAAACCAGCCGTTTCATGCCTTCCACTCTCAGTGGCCAGGTCTCACAGCTAGCTAGTAAAAAGGACGGAGCGGACTGCTGAGCAGTACACCCGCCCTTTGGTCGATAGCCAGCTGGATATCAAGTCTACAGGGACAGCCTAAACTGGCATATGCGAAACTAGCCTTCTGTGTCTGTGCTGAGATTTCGTCAGAGATCAATCCGTTGGGGCTAGTGGTACATGCATATAAGTATAAAACTTGGGCACTGTGGTAGAGTATAATTCCATTATAGATAAGATTTTATTTTGATAAATCGCACAGTGTTTACAGTTATATGAACTGATCAGTTCATATAACTGTAAACACTGTGCGATTTATCAAAATAAAATCTTATCTATAATGGAATGGTACATGCATAGTACGTGCACATAGTATATGCTCACAGATGTTTCAAGTAACGGTTACGTAATAGCCAAAGAACTGATCATATATTTAAATTAGCTAAGTAAATTGAGTGACGTAACATAATTTGATAGGATTGAGTAGAACTCAGTTAAATTATTAAAACAGCGTCATTTTATATAATGAGTAGATTTGGAGTAGATTTTGATTTTCCTACTGCGTACTAATGAAGAGTCCCAAACTAGGATGAAACATCTGTTCAGTACAACCAGGTTTTCCAGTGGTTCTCTAATTGATATCAGATCATGATGAAATCCTCCAACCAATCAATCAAACAAAATCCCTACAAAACCAAAACTTGAAAATTTCCTAAAACTGTTTTATGTGTCTATTTTGTTTTATTTTCTGTTTTAGCGTCATCGTATTCATCGAAGATCAGTCGATGCTAATCATTTCATCCGTACACCAACATCATCATCGTCGGCGACAGCAACGCCAACAACAACCTCTTCATCAAATAATCCAACATTATCTACAAAACATTTTGATATTCAGCTCCTACTAAGCGGGAGGCAATTCAATGATCCTGTTGAATATATAGCTATTCCAGATGCTATTTGTACGCCCAGAGCTTTAGGTGTTATACAAGTAAGTTATACAGTTTTTATAAACAAACAACAGGCTTGTTATCTATTGTGTGCTTAATGCATTAATTACTTTCGCGACTTTCATCGGTAGCCTTATACCCTTTATGTAGGGATATAGCAAAGCGAATGTTGTTTAATTGAATTTTAGATTTTCTTGTCGATTGACTGAACCAAAGTGCTCCGTCTCAGGTTGACATGTCTGTTGGCTTCTTGTGCAGATGCTTCGACAATGTCTGGGCATTTAATTAGTATTTAATTGGTGGATGGCGACTAGCAGTGAAATCCATCAGGATGCGCATTTCGTCCTACATGGGACCCATCCGCCAGATGGATGTACCTATCTCTCGTGGCTCAAGTGGTCTAGTGGATAACGCTGTGGTGTCTAAAACTATGGGCACTGGGTTCGAGCCTCGGTGGATACATCAGCACTCACTGAGAAATGCAGGTGCATCCAGATGACGAGTCCCAAATGTGCGTTGGTGGCACAGTGGTTAGGACTCTCGCCGCCGACCATGCACATGGTACGGGGTTCGAGCCCTCGCCGACACACACCTGATATCTATGGTCGGTCTGCGAAATTCGGGCTACCGATATCCACGCTGAAAATTCCATACTTGTACCAACTGGACAGCTCAACAAACGAATCATCATTACAGAGCATCTTCCTTCATGGTTCGGAAAATTCCAAGTAAAATATCTATAGGAAGTTCTATTTTATCTCATTTGATTGATGATAGTGGTCCCCAAGTGGACTGGAGAAGCAGTGCCTTCAAAGTCATCTATCACACATTCCATCGAACCTTTCAAAAAGAATTCGAATCCTTCTCTTAGACGCATAGCCGAAGCTATGGGAATTAATTTGAGAGAACAATCTTAGTCTTTGTATACAAAAAAAGAAGTTTATATCTACATTTTTGTCTGTCTCCCTTGACCTAAGTAAAGTCTGATTAAAACCCTCCCACCCGTTGATATAAGGATAAAACTTCGGCACTGTGGTAGTGTATAACTCCATTATGGATAAAATTTTATTTTTATAAAATCACACAGTGTTTGTTAAACAGTAATATTTACTGTTGACTACTTTTCGAGCACAAATTATCGCTACTTGTAATCATATAAAGGCACCTATACAACTTTCTTATTTTCCATTTCTTTCTTACTCTTATGATATTTATTTAAACTCTGATTATCTGTCTACTTCACCTTTGGTATTACATAACTTTTAAGATTTTACCTAATTTAACTTACTTATTGAATTGTCTGCATATACAAACCTATTGCTACCTTCGTTATTCTTATCATTATAATCACCGCTTTTAATGACGTTCAAAACATATAACACTTATTATCCCTATTAATTTTTGGTGATCAAAATCACCATCATTTCTTCGATATATTTATATACACCTAGCGCCGGGTTCAGGGTGATCAAGAATGCTCTGATCCTTCGGTGAGAGGCTCACCATTGCACCTCAGTGGATTGAAACTTCACGACGGACCCTAATCGGGTGGTGCACTTGGGCGTGTAGTTTTTGTCACTGTGGGGAGGCTTCAACGGTCCTCCCTTTATTATCACTGTGCGTTGGTGGCACAGTGATCAGGACTCTAGCCCACCATACACATGGTCCGGGGTTCGATCCCTGGCCGACGCACCCTCGATATCAATGGTTGGCCTGCAAAATTGGGCTACCGATACTTGTACCAAAAAAAATGGTGTGGAGTCAAGCTATATTTTTTTTTTTAAATCCTTGTAAATTAGATTAATTAAAGCCGGAAGAAGAAGATTTAATTGAAGACTACAGTGTTTTTCGCTTATCTATATATATCTTATTCTAACAAATTAAACGACATGTAAGTTGTTCGCCTTTCATGCTGTCTACTGTCCTACTTTCGCCTCCTATTTCTCCTCTTCCTTCTTCTCAATCCGTCTTGTGTTTCCTCATCGTCCTTGTCTTCTCTCCCTCTCCCTCTCTCTCTCTCACACACACTTTTCTTCTTATATAAACTTATTTATTCAATTTATTTCTAATTATCTAAAGGATTATTTACATATGAATAATTCTTCTTATATATATATATATATATATATATATATGCATCATTAAATGTCTTCGCTTTATTCTTCTTGTTCGTCTGCTTCTTCGTCGGCAGTGCAGAGACTTTCTTCACAATCTCCGTCCACACTCTTCCTCATCACACTCGCACACATGCACACACACATACAGACAGACAGACACAGCTCATTTACATATATCCGCTTACATAAAATCTAGACACTGTAAGGGTAAGCCCTAATTATATAATTAAACTTTATTATTATTATTTTCATTATTCTCTGTCTTATTATGTCGTATTCTCTCGTCCAACATGAATACACTATTCAGATTATAGAATATGTTTGCGTTGGGATTTTCTTCATGAGTTAATAAAGCAGTCAGACAGAGAGAGAGAGAGACTGATCATTATTTAAAAACCAACCAAGAAGAACTAGACTGTTATTCAAGTATCGGGTGGTAGGGAATTAGTTGATTGGTTACAGGATTTTATCACGAGCTGACATTAGTTAGGGAACTATTGGAAAAACCAGCTGGGAGTACTGGACAGCTGTTTCGTTCAAGTTAGAGACTCTTCAGCGGCACATACCCACCTGGGTTCGAACCCAGGACCTTCTGGTTACAAGGTCAGTGAGCTCGTATACCATTAAGCCACTGGAACCCGATCCTATTGCCCATGAATTCCAACTTCTGCCAATTCACGACATAGGGGTTGGGTCCCAGTGGCTTAATGGTATACGAGCTCACTGACCTTGTAACCAGAAGGTCCTGGGTTTGTACCCTTGCCGTGGGTGCATACTGATGAAGAGTCCCAAACTAGGACGAAACAGCTGTCCAGTACTCCGTGGTAGGTTTTCCAATGGTTCTCTAACTACTATTAGCTCATGATGAAATCCTATAACTAGACAGTCAATTTTGTCCCTTTTTTGATTTCAGACTGACTAACTGACTGACTGTTCAGTGAGTGTTGCCCACCCACGACCCTGCCAAAGGTGGAACTCGGAACATTTAGATTGTTACGGGAAGCTCATTGATGACCATTCAGCTATTTGGGTTGGAATTCAATGACATGATGGATTGCAGCTTCTGAAAATCGATTCACTAGGTATCAGTGAGCTGTTGATATCAAAGTAAAGTGGGTTCACATTGAAGAAATTAGTGAGGATAGTGTTATATTATCATGCAGCAGCTACCAAAATTTAGAATTCAAAGAATCAGTGAATTCCAGCTCAAGTGGTTGAAGGTTCTCAGAGTTCAATTCCTGACAGAATCGTGGATGCGGAACGCTGAACAGTCAGTTCTTAGAAAATATAGGATGAAACTGCCTTCCGGTAGTCCTCCTTGGGGGTTTTTAATTGTTCTCCCACTTGACATCAATCTGTGAATGGTCAAACTTAGAACGAATCACATCCCTGTCAACTAACTTTGATAGTTGCTGGACACCTGGATGTACCTGCATTCTGCAGGGAGTGGTGATCATCTACACAAGAAGTCGACATATCAACCTGAGAACTGGATTTCACCGATGATTTATGTTTGATGTCACACAAAATCGAAGACTTACAAGCGAAAATCGACAAACTGGTCGAAGAAGGAGCTGGCGAGGACAGGACTGCAGGTGAACATAGACAAGACGGAGGTTATGAAAAAAACCAACCAACCAACAACAACAACAGCAACATCCAGCGCCAATCACCATCAATGGGAGGGATTTAAAAATGCTTACTTCATTCACTTATCTAGCATTGAGCATTGTCTCAACTACAGGGGAAACGGCCGAGGATGTCAAATCGAGCGAGAATCGGAAAGGCGAGAAACACGTTGTTCATCAACCTGCAACCAATCTGGAAACCAGTCTTCGTCACTCAGCTAGCATCAACAACAAAATTCGGTCAGATTTCCAATACAAACAGCGTCAAGTCAGTCAATGAGTTCTTCTATACGGATCAGAAACTTGGCGGGTGGGTCACAAAGAATATTTCCAACAGCCAGTTACAGACCTATATCAACAAATGTCTTCGCTGGCTCTATACTGAAGATCAGATGGCCGGGCCGGAAACAATCACCAACAAGAGCCTATGGGAACAAACAAAACAAGAACCAATCGCCAACCAACAAATATGCAGGAGAAAGTGGAGAAAGATGGATTGGACACTGGCTGAGGAGGCCGCTAGGTGACATCGTGCGCGCATCAGGCCGTCACTCGAGTGGAACCCGACCGAAAGGGAAGCGGAGAGTGGGACGTCGGTGCAAGGGTGACATGGAGGAGATCGTGTGAAGAGGAGTTGAAAGAGTATGGAGTAACTAACATGGATGGAGGTGAAAAGTACAGAAGAAGGAAGACAGAAGCAAGTGGAGACGTTCAGTTGAAGTCCTATGTTCCACTAGGAACCCAAGGGAACAATAATAATAAATAATGATACTGGACGCAGGATGTAGTTGCCTGCAGTTCCAGTGAGAAGACTAATAACTATTGAGTGGGGTCCACCACCATGTCGGGAGTGAGGACAAATAATCACCACAGATAACACTGGCTAGCCTCAGTAGTGCCGAAATCAATAAACTGGTAAGAGTTAGAATTGATTACAGGATTTCATCGTCAACTGACATCGTTTATAGAAGCACTGGAACATCTGGGGATACTGCATAGCTGTTTCCCTCATCCCTTAATTTAGGATTCTTCATCAGTACGCACCCATCCTCTCGGATTCGAACGCAGGATCTTCCGGTTACAAGGCGAGCAAGCTTGTAGACCATTAAGCCACTGTGAACCGATCTGATGACCAGCCCATGAACTCCGAATTCTGCCGAGCATTTGTTCAGTGGTTCTATAATCGATATCGACTAATGATGAAGTCCAGTAACCAATCAAATCAGATTCTTGTGAACTGACACTGGAATGATCTACGAGCTCCTCTTGTAGTAGGCGGGAGGTCTTGGATTAGAA